AGGCCTGAACGGATTGCTCTAGATGTGGCCTTACAAGGGCCTTGTACAGTGGAACCATTACCTTTGCCCTCGAGAGGATACAGTCCTAAGGAGTTGATGAAGTGCACTGTCACCTTTGGCCACAGCTGCCAGACACTGAGGCGTAGGTTTGAAGGTCTAGTCTATGACGATACCCAAGTCCCTAGTATCCTCGCTCCTCGTTAGAGGTAGATGGCTTTCCGTGGTCACACTTCGCCCATCGCTATTTGTATCGACTGTCATCAAATTTTGGCACTTGCTTAGGTTCAGCGGGAGTTCCCATTGAACTGTCCACTCCTGGATCTTGTTCAGATCCTCTTGCAATTGTGGCACATCTGGTCGGCCTAGGACTTTAACGTCGTCTGCAAACAAGTAGAGCGGCGAGTGCAGACCACGGACCGTGTCGTTGATGTATACGAGGAACAGCATGGGACCAAGCACCGAACTTTGGGGGACCCCACTGCAAGCTTCAAGAGACCCTAATATACAGTCGTCTACACTCACTCAAAAAGTCCTGTTGTGCAAGTAGGCTCTCAATCAATCTACTAACCCCGGAGCAAACCCTGAGACACTCCAACTTGTGTAGCAGGAAGCGAGGGTTTACCGAGTCGAAAGCTTTCCTGAAATCCAGGTAGCATACCGACTCGCTATCCCCTATCAAGTCGGCTCGTGACCTCATCCAGGTACGACAGCAGGTTGCTCAAGCAGGATTTACTTTTAACGAAGCCGTGCTGCTTATCGGCTATTATTCTATTTCTCGTCAGGTATTCGGCCAGTTTGTTCCTAATAACCCTTTCGAATACCTTTAATACAACCAACAGTAGGCTCACTGACAGGTAATTTGCTGGTTGTTCTCCATTGTCCCCTTCGTGAATGGGGACAATTATTGCCCTCATGCAATCTCTGGGCAGCAGCGCAGTGCGGAGTGACAAATTAAACAGCTTCCCGATGGGTCCCGCCACGAGTGCCGAAACGGGTTTAAGGACGGCCGGATGAATTCCATCCGGCCTTGTTTTCTTGTGCACATTTAGGCATTGCACTTTATCCCTTATTTCATCCGGTGTTACATGGAAGTCATTTATTACGGATACTGAGTTAATCAGCATAGTACTAGGCGATTTACCGTGGTCTCGCACGTGGACACTTTCGAAAAACCTACGCATTTCCTCGGCTTTCTCGCCGTTGGTCAAAGCGTGCTGGCACCGAGCGTTCTTTATGCATCCAACCTCTACTCTGGTAGCTGCATCAGACTGAACATAGCTATAGTTTGCCTTCGGTCAGTCCTTGGCTCTGTTAGCTAGTCGGCGTTCAAATTGAAGTCGGCAAACCATCTGGACTCTTTTGGCTCTTTCACTCTTCCACTTGTATTGTACCAGGCACCTATGGCTCCTTTTTCTTTTAAATTGCCTCCACGCTTGCTTTTTATTTGCTGTGCCTTGGTGGCCCGGCTCTTCAACCAGACTGGTCTACCCTTTTTGCTAACGGCTCTAGATGATGGAAATTCCTCAGTGATCCCTCCGAGCTTTTCCTTCAAGAGCTGCCTACCCCAAGGTAGGGTAACAGGACTTGTGGCTGATGTCAATTTGAGTCCATGTTCTTGCACCGTGAGCTCATCGTTTGCCAACGTAAGCTTCAACAATAGAGAATCCTTTGCGATAGGATTTTGAGCTCCTCAGCGCCCACTTGGGCAAAGTTTGGTTCAAGTGCTACTTCTGCAGCTGATACAGTACAAAACTGAAAAGGAATGCCTGCAAAAAGAAAAAGAAAAGGAATGCCTGCAATGTAGCTTTGCACCTAGCTAGACGGTTAGAGGGATGAGGCAATGCTATACTCTCAGCAGTTTTCTAGTTATCCGGAGATTTGGATATACACGGCAGGATGCCAAAGAAGCCTGTGCAGCAGCTATAAGATTAAGTACTGGGTAATGTAGAGTGGAAGGTATGTGTAACAGTCAAAAAGACTGAAAATTCCTCTCAATTACCTTGCATTTCCTTATCCTTCTTCGCCATTCTATCGTACATTCTTTCCGACGGTGGTTTTCTTGTTGGTGAATTTTCTCTTCTGAACCTTCTATTTCACCTTTTTTTACGGTAAAGCATATCTATTGGACACACACTTCAAGTGCTTTGCTCTTATATGTAAATGGGGTTCAGTGCTTTTTCTTGTTTTATTGCAACCAAGGTTTTGATTGGACGCTCGTTGTTGAACTAACCGTTGCTAGCGGTTATATTGAACCCCTTTTGGCTGTAACGCTCAAGATTATTTCGCTTGATCTGTTGAAGCGTGCAGAATTTTCCTATTGGTCCAGAATTATCTGAAAGGTAATTCAGATCACTCATTTTCCTATTTACTTTTTAATACCGCAGATATTTTCTGTGAATATTTGTAACATTTTGGCTGGATAGTGAATCAGGCTCACTATCAGGGGTATGACTGCCTTATGTATTTGTGATTAATGCAAAAATAGTACCGTAGATTATTTTTGGATTGACTTGGTTCTCGATAATTTGGGCTACGCGTTGCTCGCTATCCAGAACGAGCGAAGGATCATTTGATTGAACGCATACAGACGAGGTNGAGGTTCTTTTTGTTTCGCTGGAATCAGGACACTCGCGTTTTGGTTGTTACAGTACTCTGATATGCCCGGTAATCGGAGAATGAATATGACGAACAAGGATGTTGATGATGAACAGCAGGGATCCAACGAGAACACTGGAGAATCTCGGCAAGTCCCCTTGCATAATTTTTCTGTTCATGGCTCCAGGGTTAATGGGTCTATTCGGCTGAGTGATAAGGCGAAGCTTATCGTGTCGTTGATTAAAATGAAGGAACGCCATCTGCGAGAGAAAATGGAGCAGCAGATGAAAGAACTTCAAGAAAGGCATAGAAGCGAACTGCTAGCAGTACGACAAGATTTGGAGAGTGCAAGGCTTGCAGAAAAAATGGAAGATAAGTTGTTCACCCGTTCTACCGTGAGTGAGGACGGAAAAAATTGAGTGATGCAGCTTGTTGAAAACCATCCAGTATAGGACGCTAGGGAGGCGAGTGATCCTTTTTCCCCAGGGACAGCAGGGTTTGGTGAGCTAGAGAGAAAACAAGACGACGACGTCCACATCAGGCCGCATTACTGCGAACCTAAACATACCCAAAGTAGAACTTCTGTCTTTCGATGAGCGACCTACAATGTACTGGAGGTTCATTCGGCAATTTCAAATATACGTTGCCTCCAAGACTAATGTCGACGGGCAACGCTTGTTATATTTGCTTCATTACTGTAAGAGGAAGGCTAGGAGCGCAATTGAAGATTGCATCATGTTGCCACCCGCGGTTGGGTACGATAGGGCATGCACAATTCTCAAAGATCTATTTGGGCTCTCACATGAGGTAGCGCGCTCACTTTTAGATGGATTACTGGAGGGTCTCAATATGAATGGCGTGGCCTCTGATGTATTGTCATGTTTCACTATTCGAATGAAAAGCTGCATGATCGCTCTGGAACAAATGAGTTACATGGCTGATCTTAATTCGCTCAGCACGTCGGAACAAATAGTTTAAGAATTGCCATATTCCCTGCAACAGAAGCGGGCGGAGACCGTGGATCGGATTGCTCAAAACGACAGGGAGCCAAATTTTAGCGAACTGACAGAATTCATATCTGCGATGGCTAGAGTATCAAGGAATAGCATTGGGCAACTTGCTAACCAAAGCAGAAGAAGTAATAGACCCGTCCAGTCTATACAACCTTCGAGCAGGCGTCAACCTCCATTAAACTATAGTGTAAATTTGGTCAAGAATATTAACGATCTACGCACACAACGATGTGTGATTTGTGCTGAAAACCATCTCGTTTCATCTTGTTCGAGTTTTCCGGAGTTAAATACTCAGGAAAGATGGAACAAGGCATGAAGATACGGTTTGTGTTTTATATGTTTAATGAGAAGCCATCGAGCAAATGACTGCAGTAATAAGACCACTTGTGACGTGAGTGGTTGCGGAGGTAGACATCAAAAGTTACTTCACTTCGTCAAGGGAGTCCTAAGCACAGCATGAACCAATCGGTGAGGGTCACTGCGGAGAAACTAGACTTCGGACCAATAATGTGAGCCTGGGATTATTACTGGTCAAAATAAGAGCTGGATTAAAAGAGATTATCGGGTATGCCCTGCTAGATAATGGATGGGATACGACGCTTATTAAGGCGAGTGCACTACTTCAGTTGGGATTAAACCAACACAGAAACCATCAAAATAACTACAATGAGTGGATCAATAGAGGCAAACTTTGTCAGCAGTGCTTTTCAGGTACTGCCTCTAAATGAAGGAGAATCAGTATGGGTGGAGCAAGCGGTTGTTATAAAAGAATTGCCCGTTCATAAGTCGGTTAGAGACATCTCTGAAAGGATGAAAAAATAGCCTCATTTGGCAGACCTTCCGGTAGAATACTTTGATGGAGAAGTTCTACTATTAATTGGGTGCGATATATCGGAGGCGCATTGGGTACTCGATCAAAGGCTCCGCGGTCGAAAGAATCCTTATGTAGTTCGGACGCTATTAGGTTGGGTGATTTTCGGGCCTTCAAGTTTCACTTCGTATGAAATGAAATCGGTCAACTGCTGCAGAAGACTCAACTTTAATGCATCAAGTAATATGAATGTACGATGCAGAATTTACAGACGCCCAGTTCAGTTTAAGGCCTTTCCGTAGACGATACGGAGGCTATCGTTATTGTAGAGTCCGGTACAATGTTCGTCGGTGGACAATTCGTGGTCCCTCTGCCATGTAAGAAGGGTGTCAATGCCGGTATGGGAAAATACGCGTCAGCGCTCTCGAGGTTGAACAGCCTGAAGCGGCGCTTAATTAATGACGAGGCGCTACGGTTCCGTTACGCACAAACAATGAAGATAACTATAGAGAAGGGAACAGTTACACTGCGACTTTCATCCGCGTTCGTACCTGCTTCGTCGTGCAGTACTAAATCCAAAAATGCCGAAAAAGCTGCGTATAGTTTTGGATTGTGCGGCCAAACACAAGGGGAAATCGTTGAATGACATGCTCTATCAAGGTTCAGACACCACTGCGACTTTAGTGGGTATACTTTTGCGATTCCGTAAGGAACGTGTAGCTGTTACAGCTGGCATAGAAGAGATGTTTATACAAGTGAAGGTGCCAAAAAATGCTAGAGGCGCTTTGAGGTTTCTCTGGTGGACACAGAGTGACCCACTCAAGGATCTCAAGGAATATCAAATGACAGCTCACCCGTTTGGTGCGACTTCTTCACCGTTTTGTGCTAATTTTGCCTTGAACAGGGCTGCAAGAGAATTCGGTAGTGGTTACGGGCGTGCGGTGCTAAAAACCATAAAAGAAAACTTCTATATTGGTGACTGTCTTGCATCGTTCCCGACATGTGATGAAGTCTTACGTTTTGCGAAGGAAATAACCGAACTATTGGGAAGGGGTGGTTTTAAACTGAGGACTTGCAGAATCTCTCTCGGAAGACAGCACGAGTACTAACGTGGTTCAACTGCCTCAACTTGTTTTCAGTTGTCAGAGAGCTTTGAGCGTGCAGTGAGACACAACAAGAGATGTTTTCACTTTCCAGTTCCAGCTACTGGATAAGCCGGTGACAAGAAGAGGTATATTATCCAGTGTCAGTTCGTGGTTTGACCAGCTAGGTATGGTAGCTCCTCTGAGCATCCCAGTAAAGCAGTTGTTGCAAACATTGTGAGAATCCAAAATGGGTTGAGACCAACCTTTCAATGCTGTAGATGCCAGTATTTGGTAAAGCCGGGTACGCTTTGTTAGGTGTCTAGAGGTGATTAAGATCCCAAGAAGTATTAGAAACGGATATTGAGGAGAAGGAGGAAGGATATAGTTGCATGTTTTCTGTGATGCATCCGAGACAGGTTATGGGGCTCTCGCCCACGCGTGGTGCGTTCCAGCAAGAAAACCGGCTTACAGCGTTTTGCTGTTCAGTAAGTCTCGAGTGGCACCTATCAAACCTGTAACCTAACCCCACAGGATGAAGAGATGAAGAAAATTGTAGCACGCGTGAACACAGCTATTTTGTCGATAAAACTAGAACAGCTTCTGCATCGCTACTCTCAATGGTCAAATCTTTTAAAGTCAGTTGCATAGATTATTCGTTTCATCTCTTACATTAGAATTATGTATTGGTCGAGAAACTAAAGCACCCTGAGCGTAGAAAACCTCACAATCGAAGAAATCAACGCAGCTCGATGGAAGATTTTAAGAATGGTGCAGAACGAAACATTCAGGGAATCAGAATTACAGGCAAAACTTCAAGAAGCACGAAACGGAGACATGGAGAATTCTTTGAGGAATCTATTATAGTAGAGAAGGACATAGTGGCACGTCACATTTTTTGTCAGCGATCCGTGGAAAATATGGGATTGTCAAGGGAATCAGTGCAGTGAAGCGAGTAATAGGTCAATGCGTGGTATGTCAGAAAATGGTAGCTTCTACAGGTCAGCAGATGATGGCTACCCTACCGCTATGTAGGGTCCAAAAGAGTTGGTGCTGTTTTAAATCAGTAGGAGTTGATTATTTTGGACCTCTGTTTGTTCGCAAGGGTCGTGATTCGGAAAAGAAATATGACTGCGTGTTTACGTGTTTACAGACCCGAGCCGTGCACTTCGAGACCTTGCTCTTGATCGTTGGTGTTCCTTGTGGTCGATGACTTTCTCGGGAAACAAAAGTAGCAAATTGTCCTTTCGATGTCAAGTACCTCCGGATTCTTTGACCATGAACAGTATTCCTATTGCCCATTCCACATCCGTTCGTGACCTCGGACTCAGCTACTCCTGTTCTCTTAACTTCTCTGAGCATTGTGCTTTGCAATTAGCAAAGGCCAGACGCTCAATAAACCTCTTCTTTAGGACTTTCAGTTTCCATGATAGCATAATCACTTTGTACAAATCCCACACTAGGCCTTTGTTGGAGTTTTCGTCAATGGCATACTCCAGATAGAGTAGCCATAGAGAACTTCCAGCGAAGATTTAAAGAACAAATTCTTGGCTGGACCTCAAACTTAAACTAAATGTGACGGTGTCTCCTCTTGAACCTTGACCCCTTATGGTTACGCCGTGCAAAGATTAACCTTACCCTTCTGCATGGATTCTTGTATAAGCGGGCCCATTCGGTAGATGAAATCCGATTTGAGGTTGATCCACCATACCCCATTAGTGATCACGTAAATGTCCTCCCCTTACCTAATGACAGAACAAACACCAGACGAAAAGTTTTCCAAGTTTGTTATTCACGCCTCGGGAATACACTTCCAGTCGAAATAAGGAAAATATCGTCCACCCCAACGTTTAGGAATCACATCCCTCGATTTCTCACTCTATCTAAAATGGCCCAACTACACAATCTTTACGATGAATCACCAACTTGTGAGAATGGGCTAGATTACTAAACGTCGGCGAAAGACTGCAGTTTACAAAATATTCTGCAACGCACTTAGAACGTAGTGTAAATAATTATTTCTAAATGGATGCACTACTGACCTGGGTTTACATCTGATCCAGAAGACTCAACTGACTGTAACAGACTAACCCGGGATCAGTGGTAAATTTCCAAACTCAACTGTCATCAGCAAACTGATTCATCTCAGTGAAACATGCTGACCAGGCACATGTGGTCATCTTTTAACCCATTTCTAATCAGTAGCCCGGTCGAGCTTCAAAGCTTGATCAATGGAAGAAAAACTTGTTACGTGAAAACCTACAACTGGTTTGTTACCCACAGCTCTCTATTTCCGGTCTCTTCTTTCATCTGTAACCCTCGTCCACCTCCTCTCCGTGGCACACGCTGACCGGACAGCAGTGATCACTTTTCAACCCATTTCTATGCACTACACCGGTCAAGCTTCAAAGCTTGATCAGTGGAACAAAGCATATCATGTGGAAACCAACATAAGGCGTTACCCGTAGCCCCTAATTATCTCGGTCCGTACTTTATCTCCACTCGTCTGATCCAATTTATGTCTGTGGCACATGCCGACTAGGCAGCTGTGGCCACTTTTCAGTCATTTCTAATCAGTACACTGGTCGAGCTTCAAAGCATGAACAGTGGAACGAACTTTTTCAGGTGGAAACCAACATAATAACAACACATTCTGATGCAATAGGTGAGCTTATGTTGGTGCGCTGTTGGACTTTCAGCACTGGAATAGTGCTAAACATTTCTCTTCTCCGAATAATCGCACAACGTTTGTCCTCCATAATTTCTCCAATGTATTGTCTGTTCATTCATGTTGATCCCTTCGAGCTATCTCTTCCCCGTGGCACAGTCTGACGTGGCATTAATGTTCACCTATCAACTACCTTCCAATCGCTTCACTCGTCGGGCGTCTAAGCTAGGTCTGTGAAACCCAAACCTTTCAGGGGAAAACCTTAATTAGACTTGTCATCCTCAATTCTTGACATTATATTTCCTTCCCGTGATTCGCTTCATCTTTTTGATCTGCGTTTTTCTTTGTTTGCACTTTCCTTTAAAATATATGTATCAATATTTATACTTTCGGGCGCTCCGCATATTCTCTCGCAACATGCTGTTCCCCTCTTCCCTTCTCAGCTGGGTATTACCCCAGACTGCCGAGTTTTGCCCTTTTCATTCCAGATTCGGTTGGCTTGGGCCTGCTGAAGGCTTGGGGTTTACACCTACAATGGACAATTTGGCTCCGGCAATGGCTGTTGGGCGCGGTTGTAACCACCGTTTAGACTACATGCGTCCGCATTCCGGACCAGGTTGAGGATCACACCCTCTGTCTCACCTACAAGGTGTTTTAAGTTTGGGTGTCTAGCGTGTAGTCAGTCCTACATCAAAGCGACCAACGCCTCAATAATATAAATAAAAACCAATCAGTCCGTTAACGGTGAAGCCCCGAAGCCCATTGTTGAGTGATCGCAGAAGTCCTCCCAACTGTACTGGCATATGAAACTGTTTATTAATGATCCATGTGTCGTCTCTTCTTGAATTACTGTACTCTCCTTCATCTCGATTGTAGCTCTGCCTCTGAAATTATGAATCTTTCTTCTTTGCAATTCTCTCTCTGTCCTTGGACTCTTCCGCGCATTTTCTCCCGAGCGGATATTCCAACTCCCAATTTTATGTCTTACCATTATTTGTCATAAGACATGCGTTCACCTTGACGTGCATTACATAACAGATCACCCCCAATACTCCATTTTATGACCTTGTCCTCTTTGTGCTTCGTTTTCAACGCAAGGCACATTTACAATAATCTACATACCTGTTTCAAAACTACGTTCCTATACTCTTTGTACTATTACTTTTTGGTCTACACTAATCACGTTACATATTGTTGTACATTTTGATCATGCGCACTAGCATGCTTCGCGGGCTTCGCGAAATATAACGTTATTATTATTATTATCCCCTCTGATACGTCGTATATCCAGGGTACATAGATTCAGCTGTTGTAGCCGGATAAGATAAGGGATTTTTGACATGCCATGTACTGGTTTCGTGGCTCTCCACCGCACACGTCCTAGAGAGTCGCGTCACCATTGAGGCCAGAATGTACAATTTGGCTACCATATTCTAAAAGAGGGCCAAGACATGTTCCATAGAGGAAAGGGAAGTCCTCTTTGGTTATACGCGGAAAAGACCGTTCAATAAGGTTTAAGATAAGAAAAGCGGTTTTACTGGTTTTCTGATTGCGGGAAGAAAGCGGGAGATTGCTATTCGGCCAGAAATCAAGAGGTTTGTGCTGATCCACCATTTGGATTCAGGTTGAACCGTTTACCCATAAAGGTTGACGAGGAGCTTGCACTTTTTTGACATTGATTGGTAAGCTCCAGTCGACTGACCAATTTTTGGTTCGGTTAATCGCCGACTGCACTTTGAATGTATCTGTGCCCCAGATAGTGACATCATCCACCTACATGGCAATCTCCACAACGAAACGTTTAGGAAAATCATTATTATAAATCAGAAATTGGATGGGACCTAGTGCTGAGCCCTGTGAGACTTCTATTGAGATTGGTTAGCGTGCAGAAACGGATGTGCCGTGTTCGTTGCATACATTTGAACAGAGCTGACCGGTTTACCCGTGCCCTGGCTAAAATGCCGTTCTGTTGGTTTCTTTGGAACTCTCGGATCCTTGCTTTGCATAAATTGCGAATGCCGATGAAGCCATTGGCATCTTTTGTCGGACCCGTCAATTTGTACCTAGCAAAAGACCGCGGACGCTGTTCTAAAAGATGACGAATAGCGCGCGGTAAGAGGTGTCTGTTTGAGGAGGATTTTCAGACGCGGGTCACCAACAGATGGTCCGCTATGCGGATACACTGCTTTATTGTGCTACTCAGGAGGACTAAATCACTTATCTGAGTGGTTTGTAGGGAATGAGCTTGGAGGAAATGCCTCAGGTTGTTGAATTTTGTCCTTTCAAAATAACGAAGCCTAAGACATGGTGTTACGCACCTGGGCCAGCGGACTATTATATCGAAAGACAGCACGATGTGGTCACTCTTGCCAAAAGGGCAATGCTGGTGAATTGTGTCCGCGTGTTATGACATGTTATAACAAGGTCTAGCAGTGAAGAGTATTGCCCGTTTCTGAATCTGGTTGGGTTTGTCACGTGCTGAGACCATGACAGCTCAGTGACCAGGTCGACTAGTAGACTTCCAGATATATTATTTGGAGGGTGAAGTCTGCGCTTATCTATTCGCGGAGCGTTGAAGTCTCCAGTTATTAGAAGATGGGCATTGGGGCGCATAGATCATAAACCATTCAGTTGTTCTATCAGAAGTTATGATTCTCGCTTGCCACTGGAGGGTGAGCGGTAAACTACTCCTAGACCAGTGTCTCTGAGCGGGTCAGGGGAATTCGGACCCAGAGGCAGTCAATGAAAGAGATAGGAGGGAGTGATAGAACTATTGCTTGGGGGAGTT